GCCATGAAACAATGAAGAAAATTTCATTGGCTCATGACATTCATGTTATCATCTGTGTCTGAAAGTGACTCTTCCTAGATGAAGACAGAGCATGCTTAAGGCATGACACAGAGGAATTAGTGTGTTCCCTTTCTCATCTATCTCTGGATGAAGTTGTCAGAGAATAATCCACAAATCAGAGCGGAAAACCTCAGGGACCTTAAAGCCTCTTGTAGGTATAGACAATCAACACACAGTACTAAGTTTCAGAACATAGAGATCTACACTTTGTCTTACCCTTCTAGCAGACATATTTCTAGAGTACTCTTTTCTTCTGCCTATAGACTTCTTTTGTATAATGTGAAGCCCCAATATTAAAGCAATAGTCCTATTTTTCCCAACTATAGTTTAATGGCAGAGTCCTTTTAGCTAGCCCTGCCTATGCCATTATGCCTCTCTGCTGGGGAAACTCAGTGCATGTCTTTATGCTGGATTATCTTACCCTGTGCATACAACACCTTTGTAGAGGTTGAAGAGGTGGACCCTGACTTCTCAGTCTTATCAATTTTGCTTCTTCAGTCTGGACTATTCAAGTACTCAAGTTGTTCAGGAACTGGAATGAGATGCTTAAGATTAAACTAAATCACAAAAGAAATAGAATCAAAGTAGCTCTTCAAATGTGTCTCCTGTAAGCTTTACTTCTTGTGAAAACCAAATTCTGTCCCTGCATAGTCAAGTTATCCTACTTTCAAGTATTTTCTCAAATGTTGATGAGCAAGAGAGCAGGAATTGAATGAAATCTTCACTTGTCTCCCAAGTGCAGAAATCTTTTTGAACTAGATTGCTCTATAATATTAACCTTGTGGTGTGCTATCTTTGCAAAATAATTTCAAATGCTTCTGATTTGTAAGATGAAGTTTACTATCCATTGTATATAGAAAATGCTGCTAAGTTGAAAACATATTCAATAAAAATAATCTACCTTAAATGTTCTCAGAACACTTACATTAGCCGGTATAGTTAGGCTAAGTCATCTAACATAAAGGCTATTTTATGTGTTAAGTAGTTCATGTAGTCCACTGAATCTAGTACCTGGGAGAGTACCAGTGCTTAACTGGTGATAATGTGGCTGATGGGCACTGCCTTTCTGCTGCTACCCAACATACCACTACTGCATATCACTAGCCCAAGAGGTCAAAATGCAAAATTTGGATGGAGTATGGTTTCCACTGAAAGTGGATCATTTCTACAACATCATAAAAAAAACGATTCAAAGTCACATCATCATAAATTGAGATGATCTGTATTTATTCTCGGTTAGGTACTCTTGCTATTATAGTGACTAGACAATTGATTAAATGCCTGATAATCAATTTTCCTGACTTGGCACTAGAACCGCTTTTGGTATTTTATATTATATAATACAGTAATATACCAGCTAAGAATAATAATAAGGACTTTATATGTTAAGCAGAGAAAACCATCACTGTGACACTGCATTATTTTAAGTTTTGATGTACAATTGTTTTTTGTCTTTTATTAGTTATAGTGACATTTAGGACTTAAAATTTATTTTGTCTGTTTAAAATACATTTTATTTTGCTTTTAAAATGAATCTCACCAATTACTAAGAAGAGAAATGAACATAATTTATTTATTATGACCTCCAGCAGGAATGAACAGTATTTAATTTTGCAAAACTATTCTTTAAAGGTAGTATGATTCATCTCTTAGACTAAACTTACATTTCACCATGAAAAAAATGCTTCGAATCTTCAAAACCTTGAATCATAAGAGATAAGAAATAACTTTTAATATTCTGAACTAAATTGTTCATACTTGTTTGTATCTCCTGCCTATACGTTTGTGTTCCTTATATCAAAATGTATTATCACCCACCAAAATTTAAGTTTCTTTAATTACGAGTCAACTTGTAATTAGTTATAGCCATCATGCATTAATTAATTACAGTCATTATGCTTTAAAAGCATGCCTCCTTGTGCTTGCTCATTCTATGCCTTTCACCTGGGATGTTTCAGCCTTAATCTCAACTATGTCTAAACTTAATATGAGGATATTGAAAACATCCAGGAGTCCAGATCCTATTGCAGACCAATTAAATCATGTGCCTGGGACACAAGCATTGATCATTTTCCCAAGCCCCCAGTGATTCATATATGCTGACAAATTTGAGAACCACTACACACACACACACACACACACACATTTTTTTTCCCCAGGCAAACTTCTGTTGATATTTCCCATCTCAGGTCAGAATGGGATGTCTCATACTCTTCCTATAGTCCTATACTGCTGCACAACTCTTTGTGTGACTGAACCATAGCAGGAATTAAGGGATATTGTAAATGTTTAGTGGTCTGCTTATTCCCCAATCTTAGCTACCATAAAATCCAGGAGTATTTCTTTGAATCTCATGGTCTAATCCTGTGCCTGTTGCATGGGAATATTCAATATATTCATGGAATGAGTAACTTTTCCCTAAGAAAAATGAAAAAATAAGAGTTGTGTTGATAGCTAAGTACACTGGAAAAAGTAGTAACTTATGGTGTTTGGGATATTTCTATGCTTGCAATGTCCCCTACTTAGGAAAGCACCTCATCATACCAATAAAAATCAAACTAGATGCCAACATCAAAAAAGAAAATAAAAGATAATTTTAAATTTTCTACAAAATGACATCCTCCAGTGTAACAAGCTCGGAAACCTCCCTGTGATAAGAAACATCTCAAACAATACGTTCTTTCTCAGGCCTTTATCCTATCTTCAGGAAAAGATTTTAAAAAAAGTTGGAGACAAGATTGTCTTGTTTCCAAATCAATCCTTTCCTTTTTTCCAGAGTTTTACCATACTTATTACAAGGGTTCATAAAATGGATTTAAAATGTGTACTTAGTTTACAAAATATATGATGTAGAAATCTTAATTGTGCTATTCCTACTGTTACTATGATAGAGTTTGGAAAACAATCACATAATAAATTTTGCTATAATTTCATTCTAGACAACAAATTCAGTTTTTCACAATTGGGTTTTTGCTTTTTTTTTTTTTTTTCTTCGAGACAGGGACTCACTATAGGGTTTAGGCTAGAACTTGAGATCTTCCTGCCTCAGTGTTCCAAGTGCTAGGGATTACAGATATGTGCTAGCATGCCAGACATAAGCACATTTTAACTATTGTACTCTTTAGACTGATTATTTACACTTGTAGCAATATTTCACAATATGCTGTTTTCCATCTACTAGATTGTGATGATTTAAACTTGAAAATAAGTCAGATTTATGTTTTAGAGGACAGCAATATACTTCTCATTTACACTGCACATGGATATCTCATTAGCTATCAAATCAAGACCTTACTAATTAGTATCCAATGTCCTTATTTTGAATGCGTATGAAAATAAAAACGTAAGAAAAAGTGTGATCTTCCACATTTAAATACTCATATTGTGATCAATTATTAACTATTTTTGGCATATTAACTGAATTGTTCAATTTGTACCACTAACTCAAGGGCAGTCATTTAATTTTAAATTAGTGCTAATTTAAAAGCAGTTATGGAAGCAATCATCCATCCTGCCTGCTTTCCACAATGGGAGTCGTGACTTTTAACTTAAATTGAGCGCGATTATCTCTAGAAACTGTCCACTCAAGCTCCACAGATACTGCCGATGGCAAAAAGGCAAACGATCTCGGCGCCTAATCTCTCCACTTCTAGTTTCACGATCCCCAACATGCAAAACCGGTGAGGTCGACAGCAATCCTAGGTGAGCTTCGGCTCTGATGAACACAGAACTGAACTTTTTTGCTCTGCCCACGAGGCACCTGTTCAACCAGGAACAGAACAGCTGGCTTTCGGCAGCGGAAGAGGGCAATGTTACAGTGGGCTTCGGACAGCTTCTGACGGTGGGTAGGCTTCTTCCTCGGGTCTTCCTCAGTTTCCTGGAACTTCCCCCACTACCTGTTCCAGACACTCGATGGGCCCACAGAGTCCAGGGAGACCTCGACGCGCAGATGCCCTGCAAGTTGGAGCGCGGTGGGTCCCCAGCCTCGGGGCCAGGTGGAGGTCGACCCCTCCCCGGGCTTCCGGTCCCCTAGCAGGGGGGTGTGTGTGGGGGGGTCCTGGTGGGCGCGGCCTCACGAGGCAGTGGAGCTCGCCCCATCATCCCCCGGACCCGACAACTGCGGGTGGCAACGGATCTTGACTAAAACACCTGGCACTTGGCCATCGCTGGCCACCCCGCGTGCCTCCTTCAGGAGGGGGGTCACCCACCGACGGAGGCTGCGTGCGTGCATGCGTGCGCCCGGAGAGCCGACGAGGCGGGATCCGCGGCGGAGGCTCGGCCCTTCGGCGGCGGCGGCCCCTCCTTCCCGCGGAGGTCCTGTGAGTGCCGCGGCCCGCCCGGTGGGCGCGGGGCGGGAGGACTGCGGGGAAACGAGGAGTCACGACGCCTCCCCCGCCGGGGACCGCCTCCTCCCGCAGTGGCCTCTCCGGTTTGTTCGGAATTAGTAAGCCCGAACTCAGGCCAAACAGCCGCCCCCAGCCAGCGCGTCTTCTGCTGGGGCGGGCGCGGGGGCTGACCGGAGGAAGGAACCATTTGGCTAAAGGAGGGGGGGTGGAGGGGGCGGCAGGGTCCCCTCGCGCTTCAGACGACACCGCACGGGGAAAGGTAGAAAACGACGAGGTTCACCCTCTCACGTCCATGTGAACCTGGCTGCGCTCCCTAGACTCCGAAAGGGATTGCTTGTCCCATCATCTCCCGCACCCGACTCCTCGCACCCCTCGCCGAGACTTGGTTGGGTCCGAGGCGGGGCGGGGCGGGCTGCGCTCCACGTGCGTCCACCAGACCCACTCTGAGTGAGCACCACCAGCAGCTCACCAGAGTCCCCCGCCACCACGGGGCGGGAAGGGGCGGAGCCTGGTGGGTGGGCGGGCCCTCCGGGGCGGATAGGGGCGGGGCGGTCCGGAGGCGTGGGCGGAGGGCGGGGCGGTCGGGAGCGCACGTCTGGCTGCCCTGGCCGAGGGGCTGAGAGAGAGCGCGGGTGGCTAGGCGCCGGCCGGGAAGGTCCGCGAGCAGACGGGAGTCGGACGCCTGGGACTCGGGACTTGCTCCAGGTAGGAGCCGGAGCCTGGCTCCGGGGGGCTCTCCTCACCCGTCGGCCCCCTCGCTCGTTCCACCGCTCCCGGGTTTTCCGCTGTGCCCCCTGCCGGCGGGGCGGCGGCGGGCGCGGGACAGTTTGGGGAGGGTGTTCTGGAAGTCCGGGAGGAGGCAGCGCTCCCCTTCTCCGCGTCTTTTCTTCTCGCTCCTTCGGCTCTGGGCGTCGGGCACCGGGCGGGCAGGTCGCCTCAACGCTTGTCGGAGCTCGCCCACGCCGGGGCGGGAGGATGGGGCCCCGGGGCAGCCGAGTCGGGGAGCGGGGGTGGCGCGGAGCTCGGAGGCCGCCGGTGCGGCGAGGGCGGGAGGCCGGTCCGGGCTGCGCCCTGGGCTTTGTGCGCCGTGCGAGTGAGGGTCCCCGGATCGCGGGGGTCGGGGGGGGGCTCCTTGATGGTCCCTGGCGCCCCGTTGGGCTGTGAGGCGCCTGCCTGTCCCGCCCTGTCGCTGGGACCAGCACCTGAGCTCCACGTTCTGGAGGGTTGTGCGGTGTCGCCTGTTGTGTGCGCCCCGAGGCTGGCAGTCCGGTCTGGGGAAGGGGAAGGGACTCCCCAGCGCTGCGTCTGCCCGGCAGTGTCCGAAAGTGCTCAGTCCAGGCATCCGGAGTTGGGGCTGGGGCGCATCGGCTCCTTTGGAAGGGGGGGGGCGCTTGCGGACACCCGGATGGGCGGGGGGGGGGGGGCGCGCGGCCTGCAAATTGTGGGATCTTTGGAGGAGCTTGAGGTGCTCAGGCCGGGCGCCAGGCATCGGAGACCACCCGTCGGTCTTCACTCCAAGGAGGGCGGGCTAGATTCTGCCAGGTATGGACAGCTGGGGGGGGGGGGCACCCGTGGAAGGTCCACAGGAATGAAAATAACACCCTAGGTCCGGAGATGACACAGCTCCCACGCTGGGGCGTTTTCTTCGAGGCAGGAATAGATAGAAAGCTGTCAAAAAATAAGCATCCTTTAAAGTTGAAATGAAAGCTGGCAGATTTTCCAGGCTGTTCAGTTGTGTAGCTCTAGTGAGTGTCCAAAGAAATCATTCTTAAGTTTACTCCCCAGCACCTTTTAATTTTTTCCGCTTCTATTTTTTTTTTTTTAAATTTGTTTTTAAAGCAGGAATCAGTTTTGCTAGTATTTTCCCCCAGGAGCTTGCAAAGCCCCACAGAGGGTGCTGGAGGGAGGGGGGCGGGAGGTACACTTCAGTGAGGGTTCTCAGGTTGCTTTTGACTTCAAGCCTGAGATTCCCAATGCTTATGAATGTGGAGAGAAAAAAAAAGGGGGGGGGGGTAATCATGCTGGATTTTCCATGCATGATTCCTTCCTTTCTTCTCAGGGACCTGGGGATTGTTTATTGGTTTTTTTTTAAGCATCTCCTTAAATTTAGTATTTTTTGCAGGAAATACACTTTGTTGCCACGGGGTGTAGGTTGGGGATTAGAAAATGCTGTTGGAGAAAGCTGCTAGTGGCTTCATTTTCCAAGAATGTAAGTCATTTCCTTTCTATGATTTCAGGGAGTTGATATTTCACAGCATCAAAACTTTGTGGGGGAAATTTTTCCCTAATACATCTATCATTAAAAACAAAAAAAAAAAGGGCCTGTGACTTTTTGTGTTTCCTTCAGAGCAGTGAATAAATTTAGGCCTCAGCAATGTTAAAAGTAGGAGAAGTTTTTTAGGACCTGGAGAATTGTAGGACTACTGTAGAAAGTAGTTTTGTTGTTGTTTTTTTAAACCAAGACCCTACAAATGGCCTGCAGGGGAGACTGGGGGAGGGGAGAAGACCAGAAAAAGGGCAGGAAAACAGATGCTTTTGCGGGTGTCCTTTGTAGTAGAAAACTTCCAGCACCTCATCATTCTCCTTGGGTGTGGTTTTGCAAAATGAAAGTTTCACGTGAAAAATGAAAACACAAATGCAAGACAGCTGCCATCTGAATGCCTTTTCAGTGTGTTTGTAAACATATTGGATTCCTGTTTCATATTAAAATGGCCTTTTGGTACGATTATGAGATGAAAAGGGTCCCCCAGAGGATATCTCATATCAAGTTATCTGCAGGATATCTTCTCCAGAAAGGGGACTGGCTGTAATATGAACTAATTGCCCCCCCTTTGGGTTGCCTGTGAGAATCCCTGAGATCTGACACTGATGGGCTGCACTCATCAGTGGTCTTTGCTGTGCTCAGAACATTTTTAAGGACAGGGAGTCTTTCTTTGTTTTCTCACTCTTTCTTTTGGGAGGCAACAGGGGTAAGATACCAGCTTCAAGTACACAGATTTGAACTTGCAGATTTAAGGGAAATGCCTGAAAACAAGAGGGGCCCTGATGAGCCTTCTGCATTTGAAAACAAAATGCCAAAGTGCTGGGTAACAGTTTTCAGCTACAAGCTCTTTACAAAACTCATTCAACTGGGCTAACTAAATTAGGGGCTGTTGTAGACCTTATCCTAGTTTCTGGACTTGGTTTTCACGTTTAACTATGCTTATAAAGCTTTTGGCTTTAGAACTTATGACATAATAGACTGGAGGTTATTAGGCAGATGCTTGGAATGAAAGTTTCAAACTTGTTTTTGACTGAGCTGTCAGGATTCGAATTTAGTATAAATGAGTCTTGTCTCACAAGTAACTTTGATAAAGGAATTCTTTGTGGTTCTCAACTTGAGTGTTGAACATTTTGATTCTTAAAACTGTAGGGATTTTTTTTTTTTGGTCAAATAAAACCTGCAAACAATTATTTTATTACATGAAAGCCAGTACCAAGAAAAGATTAATTCAGTCCAGATGTAAAAATGTATGTGAATTTTAGATTTGGATGATCTCAAGTTTTCCCTTTTGTTGATGAGGCTGCCTGGATCCCAGATGGCATTCAGAAATTGTCCTGTAGGTAGTTTTCTGAATTGAGAACCAAATTTCATGGAATTTCGCTAAAGTCACTTTAATATTCCTAAATCTTTTAAAGGATAGAAAACTTTATGCATGTATGCAGAGGTAATTTTATTTCTCACTACTCATTAATGCAGATTTCATAAATGCTCCAGTTTAGTACATGAAACCTCTTTGTCCTAAGTGGGAAAGTAGGAGACATTTATGTGCATTATTCTCAGCAAAGCATAGAGGTGTTTGCTTTTATTTATATAGTTCCAAGCTTTTTTTTTTTTTTTTTGGTCAGACATAGGGCTTGAACTCAGCCCCTGGGTGCTGCCCCTTAGATTTTAGGCTCAGGGCTACTTCTCTACCATTTTGAAACACAGCACCACTTCCAGTTTTTCTGGTGGTTAATTGGAGATAAGATTCTCATGCATTTTCCTGCCTGGGCTGGCTTTGAACATCCTCAGATCTCAGCCTCCTGAGTAGCATGATTACAGGTGTGAGCCACTAGCTTCCAGCATCCATTTTTTTTTTAACAGACAAAAAGGTGGTGGTTTCATGTATAGCAACTGGGTCTTGCTGACTATCCTCAACCTTCCATCTCCTCCTCTTCATTCCCAACAAGAAAGAGCAAACACATAAGAAAATTCAGTGTGTTTTTTCAGCTGTATCCCTAATACTAGAGTTATAAAGGATATTTATTGTACACTTACAATTATATACTTTGAGAAAGTCTTCCTGTGACTTTTTAAAAAATCATTTTAAGAGTTTGCTATAATATTGTGATTATAATAAAATTGAGATCAGAGGATGGAAGATTCCTTGAAAGCATTTTATGAGTAGTAAATTTTAGCTAAAACTTATTTTCCTAAACTTAAGAAGGAAGAAGGAATATATTACATATATATGTATAGTTGAAAGGACTTTTTGGATTGTACATTATTCTGGGAAAGGGACTTGGGGGGGTGCTATAAAAATAAGTAGAATTGATCATGTGAGAAGAAGGAGGAAGTACAACACAGTATTGAATTTGGAAAAAAATTAAACTTGGGAGGGATAAGTAGTTAAAACAAGGCCAAACTAGAGAGAACTTCCAATTTGAATGTGGAAATTATAAAGAACAAGATCTTTTTTAGCTAAGAGAAGGGAGTTAAATGATTAGAATTGAGGGACGTGTAAGATCTGAATATAGCATGGGATAGGACTACTAGTGGATATTTATCCTAAATACCTTGCCAATGTTAGTGTTCAGTCACCAGGTTGATATTCAATAATATGAAGGGACTGGAGGCTTATTAGCTCTCTCTTCCTACCATTTCAATGACTAGAAGCATATTTTATGTAAATGCTAATGATTCTACAAATGCTTAATGGCTACCTGTTGTACCTTGAAACCAAAAAAGTTCCACAGCAGTAATGGCTGAAGTTTTATGAATAAATATGAGCAAACTGCTTTGAATTATCTTCCATAATTTAGTGGTATAATTCTTTCTGATGTAAGTTTGTATGCTATCACTTTTATATACATCCTGTAGAGCATTCATGTAGTGTACCATATGAAGAGACATTGAGAAGGAAGGACAAATCATTGATATGGAAGCTGATTGTATTACTTCGGGAAGAGGAAAAAAATACACTGAAACATATTTACAAAGGAAATAAAGAGTCCCAAAGGAAGGCCATGTTTTTATGGGACTTTTCTTAGAGTTGTATGTTGCTCAGGAATTTCCATAATATTTTTTTCCCCACCTGCATGGCTGTATGTAGCTGAGTTCAATCTATACATAAAAGAGGAGGGTAAGGGCTGGGAAAGTGGCTCAGTGGTAGAGTGCTTGCCTTGCATGCATGAGGCCCTGGGTTCGATTCCTCAGTACCACATAAGCAGAAAAAGCTGGAAGTGGTGCTGTGGCTCAAGTGGTAGAGCACTATCCTTGAGCTGAAGAGCTGAAGGACAGTGCCCAGGCCCAGAGTTAAGGCCCCACGACCGGCAAAAAAAAAAAAAAAAAAAAAGAGGAGGGTAAGAGAAAAGTGCTTTTAGTCATTGAGTTAACATGTTGATAATTAGGATGATTCTGACCAAATACATCTGTGTAAAACAGTTACATTCCAAGTAGATTG